AGGACCTGAAGCACCTGCTGCAGAGGGTCAAGGACTGCAGCCTCCAATATGGATTGAGGCTCAATGTCAAGAAGACAAAGATTCTCACCACTAGACCAACTGACAGCATCAGAATGGATGGTGAAGAGATTGAGATTGTTCACAGCTTTAGTTTGCTTGGCTCCACAGTCAACAATCTTGGCACCAGCAGCCAGGAAATTAAAAAGACGTATTGCGATGGGAAAGTCTGCTGTTAGGGACCTTTCCAAAGTACTGAAGAGCAATGGTGTCTCTCTGGAGACTAAATTGTGTCTGATACAGGTCATGGTCTTTACAATCACTTGTTATGTGTCAAGAGAGTTGAACAATGACTAGGGAGGATAGAAGGCGCATTGATGCCTTTGAGCTGTGGTGCTGGAGAAGAGTATTGAAGAGTATCATGGACTGCTAAGAAAACTGAAGAGTATCATGGACTGCTAAGAAAACAAACAGGTTCATCCTGGAGAGGTTTACACTGGGTGGCTCCTTAGAGGCAAGGATTCTGAGGCTTCCTCTGACATACTTTGGACATGTTGTAAGGAGGGGACCAGTCCTTGGAGAGGGACATTGTGCTTGAGAGGGTGGAGGGACAGCGCAGGAGGGGAAGGCCTTCTATGAGGTGGACTGATTCAGTAACTGGGGTAATAGGGATGGGTGTATTGGAGACAGTGCGATTAGCACAGGACAGATTTTAGGGCTGTTGTACATAGGGTCGCTATGAGTCGCAAGCGACTCGACAGCACATAACAATAACAACTATATTGGAGTAACTAAACCCTGTGTGGGAAATTTTCCCTGAGTCTTAAAGTTTTGTCTTGAACAAAGAACAGTAACTGCTATTGTTTAAATGTTTTGCACTCCATGTATCATTGTGCCCTTGAAATGTTTCAACAGTCAAAATGTGTCCATGTACCTTTGAATGTATCACTGTGCCCTATAAACCCCAAGTAGCCCAAGCCAGTAAGGGTATAAACCCTCCTACCCAATGCTAGGGTGATCCTGTTTTGTTGCTGGGACCCACGCTATACAGCTAATTAAGGACCTCACCTGTAATCCTGTGATGTACATCTCTTGATTCGCTAAGCATAACATATGAACATTAGAGTAGCAACAAGTTATAGAACAACAAGTTATATGACCAGTTTTTTTCACAGGGTCACTATGGGTTGTACTCGACTGGATGGCACTTAACAACAAAATGACCACCAACAACAACGGTGGAAGAAAGGGTGAAGGAATTAGGAAGATCCAGTGGGGACCTGAAAGGATGGAGTGATAGTGGGCACAGGTCAGTGGGGACCAATTTTATAAGACACAATGTATAGGAATGACTTTATAAAATATAACATGAATGAAGGAATGTGGGAAACACAATGTATATAAATTTTGTAAGCAAACTAATATTAAAATAATTAAAAAAAAAATAAAAATAACCACACCACCATTTCCCTTGATCTAACAGACTGAATTGTAATTGCAGGAGACTGAAATGATCTCCCATGGCCCCTCTTGGCAACCAGATGACACAGGGCTTTTCTTACCGACTTCAGTAAAGACAGATGGCAGCAACACTGACGGAGTCTCAGCAACTGGGACAGTATGTGGATGGTGCTGGATCCTTGGGAGCTTGCTACTGTACAGTGTCCAGGCGCACTGGATCCAAACTCCTGTGCCACTTCCAAAGGGGAAAACAAAGCACAAGAAAGAGTACAGAGTTTGCCAAAGGAAAATATAGAGAATCAAGAACTAATCAGAGCTGTTTGTTTAGTATGAGTTTCAACAAAATGGTTATATCTCACTTCTATTTCAACCAAGAATTAAGCCAGGTGAAGTACTGATTTTCACCACAGACATCTTGTCTGGGGCCAGTAAGTCCATTTTTTAATTACAGAGACCCCATATGACAGTGTAGAAGCCCCCACAAAGTTTTCTAGGATGTAGTCTTTTAGGCTGTAGTATCTTTCTCCTGTGGAGGTGCAGAGTGTGACTGAATAGTAGCTTAACCATTACACTGCCCCACCCTTTAGAAACATAACTGCTACCTACCCCTCTAAATTTTATTCATTTGGTTGGTGAGAATATGCATAGCAAAATATATACCAACTCAACAGTTTTTACATTTATCATTTAATTATACTGATTAGCTTATTTGAGTTGTCCAACAGTTCTTCCTTTGCTTTCCTAGTTGTTCCTTCCTCATTAACATGAACTCATCATCCCCTAAAGTCTTGAGACTTACTGTTAATTTGATCTCATACAGGTAGTCGCTGAAAAAGCATTAACGTTCAAGACAGATCTTTTTTATTTAATTAGCTATTGTTTACTTTTAAGATGACTTTAAGGGACAATTTTGGTTTAGGATGATCTCAGGGCAATAGTTTCAGAGGTTCATCCAGTCTTCATGGTTCTAGGTATGAGAATTAGAAATTCTGTTCAGCATCCACCCCCACGTTGATAAGGATTGTAATAGATTCTTTGATTAAAATGTTCAAAATGATAGCCAGGTATTATCCAATTCTTCTGATCTCATAGCAAAGAAGGGATTTAGTTGTTTATGGAAAAAACTAGTTACACATTCCATTTTCTCCTTCTTCCTGTTACTAAACGTAAACATGGATCAACTGTTGTGTCCTGGATAGCCAGCCACTTAAGGTTTGAAAACTGTATCTACTGCACAATGAACTAGGGGGTGGAACAGATGCACTGAACATTTTATCAAGATCAATTAACTGAGTTATTTCATGAAATCATAAACCTAAAACCCTCAAACCAAGGAATCAACTCCTATGTTTGGTTGTTCAAAGCTGTCTCACAAAGTACGTTTTTATTGCTCTTATTATAAATATGTCATACAGCTTTTGCTTACTCAACTTTCTGACAACTTATTAACAGCAATTACAGTAACAGGCTTTGCAACATGTAATTAGTGTGATTTCAACAGCACTGTTTACTCTCTTTTCTTCCTCTCTCCAAATCCTGTTAATTAGAAATAAACTTTGGCTTTTACATTTATCTTTTCATATCGTAAGTACCTAATAGTGTTTTAAAAAAGATTTAGATATGAATTAAAAAATTGTTTAGATGAACAGATCTAATGTCTAGTAAATAAATATCTTTTACTTTGGCTTGAGGTTCCTGGATAAGGTCAAGTCTCTGATAATCTCTCATTTGTTATTTTATGAAATCTGAATCCCCATTTTCATTGTGGTATCTCACTGCTCACCTCTACTGAATGGGTTATCAGGGCTTTTTCCACAAGGGTTGATCTCATTTTCATGTCTTTTTAGATAGGACTGCAGAGCTGACCTGCCTCAGACCAAAAAAGAAAATACATATATAATGGTCACTGAGCTTAAATACATATTAAATTGCTGCTGTTTGTGCTTGTCAAAGAACCAGAACAAGTTTCATAGACTTGTTAGGTGCTGTCAAAACCATAGGTAGCATTTTTCAGAGGTTATGAAAAAGAAATCATTATTTAAAACACCAAATTAATAGTAACTGGTGTTGGTTTCCAAGGATGTAATGGGAGGGAGAAGGGAATAAAAACTAATAAATAGGTAAGTTTTGTGAAGGGAAAGGGAATATATACCAATATATGAGGGGTTGATCAGACATTTCAATGACTTAATTTCTTTAATCACCTGTAATTAGTGTTATAAAACAAAATGTGTATGAATGACTGGAAAGCCAAATGATACTTTAAACATTTCACCCAAAGGAAAAGAAAGCAATAGAAATAGTTAAGACCAGTCAGATCCAATTTGACGGAACACAGAAAAAAAAAAAAAAGATAAAAAGTGGGAAGGATAGAAAAACTCTTATAAAAATATAATAATAAACATAAAGGCTTAAAAAGAGAGGAAAAGCCAGCAGCAACAGCAAAGTTCAAGAAGGCAGCAAACAAAAATGCTGGCAAGGATGTAGAGAGACTGGAACTCTCCTTTGCTCCTGGTGGGTATGTAAAATGGTACAATCACTACGGAAAGCAGTCTGGCCTTTCCTCAAAAAGGTGGAAATGGACATACCATTTCACCCAGCAACTCCACTGTTGGGAAAATACCCTAAAGAAACCAGAGCCGTGATGCAGACAGATGGAAGCACACCCGTGTTTATCTGAGCACCATTCACAATAGTGAAGAGACTGAAGGAGCCCAAGTGACCATCAACAAACAAAAGGATAAAAAAAACTGTGGTACATTCCACACACAGTGGATTATCATGCAGCACTTAACAATGAACTTGTAGAACACTACACAACATGGGTAAGCCTGGAAGACTTTATGCTTGAAAGAAATATCTCAGTTACAAAAAGACAAATACGGAGTAACACCATAGTTAGAAAAATACAACTTGCATGATTGGTGGGGGAGAGAATAGGAAATGAGTGAGTGGACAGATAATGAACACTACACTGGAATAGGTGAAGGAAAGGACTATCTGAAAGGAATAGATGATCAGCCATTACAGGTACAACAACAATCTAACAAGACGGGAGAGGAAGGAAAATGTATCAATGAATGAAGGAAAACTCATTCTGTAAACTTTTACTAAAAATCAGGATAAAAAAAAATACATGAAATACAAATAAAAAAGATCACCAATCAGGGGGGTGGGGTAAGGGAGAAATACAGTCACCCTGGAAGTGAGATATTAATTATGGAATTCAGGGAAGGTCAAGAGTTCAAGAGATAAGTGAAATATCAATGGCATGAAGGATTATAAAGCAGTTTTTGTTTTTTGTGCCAGTGATACACTGAATGACATCTCACTGAACAAACTGGGATTAATTTCCTTATTCTACCCTACAGGGACTAAACAGATGTGTACAGAGCAAACACCTCAGCACTGCAATACAAGGAAGCCAATGGAAGAACAAGTTAAAAAAAACCTTCAGTATGTACTTGAGACAGAACTGTGTTGGGAGAGAGAAGAGTCAAAAAGGAAAACCAGTAAATTATGAATCAGTAAGCTAAAAAATACAGTTAAATAACACTTGACCTTCAAGGCACAACCAAATGAAAGCAGAAGAAAACAAAATTTCATGTGAAAAGGTGTTTCTGCACTGCACACACCTTGATCTTGCAAAAAAGACACTGTAAACACTCTCTTCATCTTCTGAAAGCCTTAAAGAATGCAACTGAAATTTACGCTTGGGTAGCACCACCTGGAAGAATTAAAAAGAAAAAAACCCCTAGAATAAAAACATACAAATTAAAGGGGTATTATGGAGCAAACTCCACAAATCTAACGTTAGAAATCTAGTCAATCCTAGGACAGCAGCTTCCACCTTTCTCTAAAAATGGTAATGCTGTGGCCACTCTAGAAAAACTAGGCAGGAAAATGGGATCATCAAAGGCAAGGTCCAGTCACCTTCACCTGTTCCCTCCCCTCCTCAGTACCAGGCAGAAAGGAGATTACCAAAGGCTTGCCAGTGGAGTCCAGCTGGTCCTTGGTTCTCCTCAGCAGAAGGCTCTTGGTTAAAATACTTAACCTTTCTCCTCCTTTCTTTGAGCCATTGTCAACCTGATTCTTCCAAAGACTGAACTCATCAAATGGAGAACAACGAAGAAACCTTTTTCAGTTGGGGGAAGAATGGTGCAGAGTCAGGAAGCAGCAGCATGGGAAGATAAAAATTCAAAGTAAGATATTAAATGAAAACCAAATCAGACTTTCTGTTATAGCTGTCATCAGCATAGCTCTTAGGCAGATCGAAAAGATCCAAGTCAATAATCAAAATTACATTATAGAAAACCACAGTCACATCATAAAAATATCTTTCCATTACTAAGTACATTGTTACAACAGGACATGTAAACAATAGCTGGACTTTATGCCTAAAGTTTCAAGGAATACAAAAAAAAATTTCCAAATCCTCTTACAAACCGACAAGAATTTTTTAAAAATAGCATTCTTTTCTATGTGCTTCAAATAAATTTTAGCCCTGACCTCAAGTCAATATGTTTTAAAGCAAAAATCACCCAAAACATTCACTGCACTGAAGAAAAGATGACTTCTGGCTCCTTTAATTAAAACATCCTATACTGTTGCATAACAAAGGCTGGATGTAATCGAAGTCCTGCATCAGCCAGTCAATCAACAGTTACTTTCTCATCAATATTAATGCTTCTGTTCTTTGAAAGCTGACAAGCTTGCCATCTGATAATCAAGAAAATGTGGCACACATTGAAGCAGCTCTATTGTGAAACATGAAAGAATTAGGAAGGGTTAGTGACAGGGTTCACATTTACATATTCCTAGAGAGTTTGCTCACTTCAGCAGGGAGTACATGTCCAACAGGTTGTTCTGAATGGGGGTTCCTGTGACAGCCCAGCGTGCCTGGGCCTGTAGCTTACACACGGCAATGGAGGTCTGCACTCGGGGATTCTTAATATTGTGTGCTTCATCCAATATAATTCGAGCCCAGGCTATTTGAAGCAAGGGTACAGAGATGCCCTGGAGGAAAGACAACAGCACAAGAAAATGGACATGTGTTCAAACAGAAAATGAGAAAAAACTGAGCAAGTACTGAGGGCCCACTCTTTCAAATGTGAAGGCTTCTGTCAGGTATACTGAGTTAGAGTTAAGTTTAAAAACCTGTAGCAGAAACTCCAAAAGGTAGCAATAAACTAGTCATTTGGAAGCCCAATATTATGTTTTCTAAATTGATTTTCCATTTATTCTGTCAATAATTTTTTATTAATACTCATGGGTCCTAAGTATCTTAAGGTATCATAAGCCTGCATATTCACTCATATTAATTTACTAGAAGTCTGTGTATGTGTGTGTATGTGTGATATTAAGCCACAAATAATGGGCACTTTCTAATCTCAACAGTTTGATACAGTGTGGGGGGGAACAGAGAGATAAAATATGTCATGTACATATAATACATTTTATTGGATTGCCTAGCCCACAACAGTCATGTTCATCATTCTAGTTCTAAAACATGAAATAGCATTGGGTTTGTAATGTTGTGGTTGACAGAGGGCACTGAGTCCATTTTTTACTAATAGCCACCCCATGTGACAGAGGAGAACAGGCTGTATGTAGCCTTAACAAAAGCAGATCACTGGGTATTTCTCCCAATGAGTGGCTGGGTGGGTTTGAGCTGTCAACTTGTTGGGTGTCAAGTACTTAACTCTAAGAACATCAGGGTTCCCTGACACATAGTAAAAAAATCAATATTTGCTGAGTAAATGGAGTGCTATCACATATAAAAAGCACAAGATGCTATAAAAGACATTCAACCAAATAAGGAGAAGGTGGAAAAGGAATGAATGGCCCAGAAAGGATCCTTGAAGCAGGTAAAAAACAAATCAGCTGGGAGAAGAAAAGGGAGCATTTCATTCAAAGGAAAGACAACACCACAAAGTTGTGACAGAACAATTGCTTGATATGCTGGAGCATGAAGGAGATGCTACAGGGTGAGGAGTGTTGAAGATCATGTAGATAAGGAAAAGAGCATGAGAATCCCACTGTGTAAAAGGATCGCAAATATATCCTAAAAGTAATGTGAAACAGTGGAATTTAAAAAGTTCATTTGCAGAGCTGCTCTTAAGTGGGAAGACATGTTCTAGAAATCCCCTCAAACAGAGAAACAGGTTAATATGCTATTATACTAAAAATAAAAACATGTGCAAAAAGACTAGCCCTTGGAACAGTATTTTTTCCAGAGACAAAAATGTCCCACAATAATTATGCAATAAAATCTCTATACTGCATAACTGAGAATATCCTGGATCCAAGCAAATATTCAGGTATCCTGTGGTTATAATTGAGCATCTGCCCATTTGTAGCCTTATTATTTGTATCTCCTTTTCCTAGTAGGCCTGAAGTGTAGATGGGGTGGCAGGGATTGATGGATTAATACCAAACTATTAGTATTAAAATATTGCCCCCCACAGATGCATGAGGTATCCATAAAAACTCTTCTTGTAAATTTTCTGTAAATCTAAAACTATTTCAAAAGAAAAAGTTTTAAGCAATAAATAAAAAATGCTAGCTCACACAATAGTAAATTAAAAAAAAAAATCAGACAGTATATCCCAAATATTCCAAAACAAAAATTTCAACAAATAAGAATTTTCCCTATATTCATGGGATTATAACCACACCAACTACTACGTTGTTGTTAAGTGCTGTCGAGTCACTGACGACTCATAGTGACCCTATGAACACAAAACCTGAACACCTGTATAACTTTCATCGTTTCTTCAAGTTCATAGGGTTTCCGGAGGCAAGTTATTTCTGAAGCGGACACCGCTCCTGCTTCCAAGCTTGTTTTAATTGGGGAGCTCCACCAAACACTGTCCACCATGGCACATCAGGGTCATAATGTTCACCATCACAGAAACCACGAGTTACCTCTGTACAGCAAGTGGACACCCAGTGTTATAGAGGAATGTTTGACCAAAACCAATTAAAACCAGGCCCAAAGGACCAACTGAATTTAAGAACCAAGGCAAGGTTCAAACTCCATGAGCTCCATCATTCCACATTCCTCCATATCAAGCATTCGTATTGGCTCTCACCACCCAAAAATGCCTGTCTGGGAGGATTCTGCTGCTTCCCCAACCTCCTCCTAGTCTGATGCCACATGTTTCTTCATATAGTTTAACATCTTGAATGATTTGTTCAGCATATAGACTGAATACATTTGAGGAAAGGATACAATGTTAATGCACATCTTCCTTGATTTTAATCCATTGTATATTCCCTTGAAAACCCAACTAAATATTGTACCAAATCTTAACCTCTCTCACTGAGAGAAAAGGCAGAGGAATGAGCTATCCACTTCAACACGTGGAACGTTTAGGACAGTTCTGACCTCACAGGAAAGTAGTTGTGCTAACCCTGGCAGCCCCAAAGTCTCACCTCCACACTAAGGTTTGCACCTGGGACCTCTCCCTCATGCTTCTTTGTGGGAACCTCCTTGGCCAGAAGACTATAGGTAGTGATCACTACGTCATATGAGGAGAGGCTGCAGAAAGACAACACAAAGAAACCCTAAAGATTCTTTCAAGGACTCTGATAATGGAGTTATCATTTATATAAATGCCAATGGCTAGAAAAACAGATGATGGCAGAATTCATTAACTTATGACCTTAATCCACATACCTAATTTTATATATATAAATGCAAATTTTTTACACTTGGCTTTCTTACCTCTTATTCATGAAAATTTTAAGAGTTTGCTCATTGAAGCCAGAGCAGCCTTTCATTCCAATTAACGAATCAAAAAGGAAAATCTCTAGCTAGAGTTTATATTAAGCTAGATAATCTGAGATGAATGAAATTCCTGGGAAAGCAAGCAGCTTTACTCTTACATCAATCACATTTCCTTGTCACTATTCTATTCAGGTATAAATAGATGTGCTATCAACTTTGCCTATTCATTTTACGGGGGAGCTCTGGTGACCTGGTGGGTAAAGAATTGTATTATTAACACACACACACACACACACACACAATTGTATTACTAATACAAAGTCAGTCAGTTGAAATCTACTAGCTGCTCAGAGGGGAAAAGAAAAGCAGTCTCCTCCCATGCAATTTACAGCCTCTGAAAATGTGCTGGAGGGTCAGCTATGAGTTGGTTCTGGCTTGACGGCAATGATGTTTTTTAGTTTATACATTTTATATATAAAGACTCTAATTGGCTGCACCATAATAGATGGAGAAGAGTTTGAGGTTATTGACAATTAGAACTTACTCAGCTCTACAATCAACACTCTTCGAACCATCAGTCAGGAAATAAAAAAAATGGAATGCACTGGAAAATCTGCTGTCAGGGACCTCTCCAGCATACTGAAAAGCAATGATTTTAGAAACTAAAGTGTGCCTGATTCAGGGCATCATCCTTGCAATTACTTTCTATGCATCAGAGAGCTGGACCATGACTAAGGATGACAAAAGAATTGATGCCTTTGAGTTGTGGTGCTTTAGAAGAGTCTTGAACATACCATGGACTGCCAAGAAAACAAATAGGTCTGTCTTGGAAGAGGTGAAATCAAGTTTCTTCTTGGAGGCTAGGAGTTTGAGCTCTCACATACTTTGGGCACGGGGACTGATCCTTACAGGAGGACATCATGCTTGGAAGGGTGAAGGGACAGCACAGGAGAGCAAGACCCTAGATGAGATGGATTGATACAGTAACTAGGACAATGGGGGTAGGTATGTTGGAGTGAAGATAGAGCAGGCTTCAGAGCTGTTGGACATAAGGTCGCTATGGGTCACAGGAGACTAGATAGCACATAACAAAAACAATGACAGAAAGAAGATGGTCTCCTGACTGTCTTCATTCCAGAAGGCTCGCTTTGGAATCGTCCTCCTGTTGTGGAGACAGAAGGGAGTCATCAACCTGGAAGAAATATGAAAGATATGACTTCCACAAGTCCTATAGGCTAGGGTAGACATGTTAGCAAGGTCACACTTCCAGAATGTTTTAAGGAAAGAGTGACAGAGCACAAGATTCAAGCCTGCATTCATGGGAGACTGAGGCCCTGCACAGGCTGGGAGGGCATTCCTCGGTACTTCTTAAAGCTGTGAGTATTGATGAGAGTGCTTCATGTACTTGTCACATACACAGACTCTAAGCTGCCAGTTTCAGAACTCCAAAACCAGTGAAGTGCAGCAAATGTGGGTGCTGGGATTCCAGAGTTCCTACTTAGTTGAGTGCCTGGGCTTTTTCAGCTGCAGTGTATCCAGGGGGCATGCATGCTTCATTCTTGGGAGCTATGCACCAGTTCCAGTTCAAGCAGTCATATCATGTTGTGAGAGGGTGACATTAAAGCCCATTTTATTAAAAAGATAAATAAATAAAACAAAGACAATGAAAGACACAAATGTTTTTGTTATAAAACTTAATATTATATACATGAAAGAACTTTTTAAAAAAATAATTTTTTTTTAAACTGATAATCCTAACTCAGAGAGAGATAGCTGGACAATGAATAAGAAAGAATTGTTGCTTTTGAACTGTGGTGCTGGAGAACAGTACTAAATATTCATGGACTGCCAATAGAACAAACATATATCTTGGAGAAGGTGCAGCCAGAGTGTTCCTTGGAGGCAAACAGCTTTGTCCCACATATTTTGGGCATTTGCTGTTTGTCACATCACGCTTGGGAATGTAAAGGCATGTCAAAAGAAGATGGCTCAAGTGTGTCAGAGACTGTGAGGATGGCACAGGATAGTACAGCGTTCAGATGTGTTGTCCCTAGGGTCGTTGTGAGTTGTCCTCAACTTGATGGGACCTAACAACAACATTATTTCCATAACATCATGGAAAGATGCATAATGGAGAACAATTCCAATCAGCCTACTTGTACACTGTGACTACCAAACCAGGTATGACCAAGGTGTAAATCAAGTAAGACCTATTTCTGAACAACATTTTAGAGCAAATGCAGGTAACTCAAAAGTATTCTATACCAGAGAAGGCACACGGCCAGTCACTGCTGCCTGAGACCTATCTCTTTCTGAAATAACTATAAGCCATCAGAGTTGATGTGCTAGAAAACTGAGGGTCACAAATCTGATAATTCACCCTTTGCAAGACTGCTGCCCCATTTTTTAGAAGATGGAATACCCAATACCAGAGGCCGAGGAAATTATTCAGAAGAAAGCATTTTACTATCATCCTTGAATAGATCAGCAAGTATTCAATCCAGTTTCTAATATCAAACAGAAAACAGTATCTTTAAACCCAGGCAGGCATTTGTCCAATCTTATATTTGGTTATCTGGCTCGTGGACTCTCATGCTTGCCGACTGAGGAGCTGTTGGCTTCTGAAGCCCGTAGGCTCTAAAGCCAGCCATTTGTAACTCTTCTCCCCAACACTGACTTCTGGATCTGCCTCTGATGCCAGGAGCCTGAGACCCTTCCCGTAGATAACTTGCACACATCAGCTTTCCCAGATGCCTTTCTCTTGGGGTCTGAACTACAGACCTGGGAATTGCCAGCCTCTGGTAAGTATGTGGGCCATTTTCTTGAAATAATCTCTCGAAAATAAAGACATAAAAAAACAAACAAGCATGAAGACAAAATATAACTGATTAATGGTATTGCAAGATCTTTGTGAATAGGTTGATTCTATTCACTCAGCAAAAGCAATATATGATGTCATAACCAGAAACTCAGCAACTATGACATCCTTGGGAGGGAGCCTCTTTTACCATGGGGAATTCTTATGCCACCTGACAGCCGAGATTTCCTTGCTTTAGTAGTTTTTGTTGGAGATAGTAACACATTGTTGTTCTGTGCTGCTTGCTTTCAAGTCAGCTGTGACTCATAGTCACCCTATAAACAGCAGCTCTGAACCACACTTTATTTTATGCTATGCTCACCATCTCTGACACTCTATTTTGTGCCATGCTCACCATCTCTGATATACATGAGCCCACTGTTAAGAGTCACAACATCAATCCATCTTGTTGAGGGTCTTCCTCACCTTTATCGACGCTCCACCTTTCCAAGCATGATGTCCTTCTCCAAGGACTAGGCCCTTCAAATTCTGTCCAGAATTGCATCACAGCAATACAGAAGCCTCTTCACTGACAAGACAGGTGGTGACTATGCTTGAGATGTATTAACCAGAAACAGAAGTAGCTCTCTTGCATGGAAGGCTAGAATTGTACCACTGAATGACCACTACCTCAGATAAATATCATCAGTCTCAATTATATGAGTCTCAAAGAGAGTGGACTGGCTCTATATGGTGTTCATTCTTAGTCAACCCTATCAGCAATGGTTAACTGGGTCCTTAAGCAAAGACGCTGAGAACTTCTAAGATTGTGGTATTTCTGCACTTACACTTTTGCACGCTGATTCCGGTTTGGCCCATGATAGAGATAGACTCTTAGTTTGTTGTGGCTCACATGTTTCTCTACTTCATTTTTCCAATGATGGATCAGGGAAGCAGGACACACGATTAATGTTCCATGGGAAACAAAGCTAGAAGACTCTTGGAAGATGAAAAAATAATCAACACCAAGTTAGTCATTAATTTTTCAAAGGTACTACCACTTTCTCTTCACTAACTACAATTTCAAGTAGTACTTTTAACTCTTGTTTTTACAATGTTTTCCATTTCTCCCATGAAAGTGTCAGATAAAAGAACACAAGGCTTATAAGAGAGAGGAAAGAGTCTAGACGTGGCCTCAGTCTAAAAAGGCAATGCAAATTAAAAAAAAGAAATAAAATAAGAAAAGAAGCAATGCATTCACAATGTGGCCAGATACAGAAGCTGGATCATTTCCTGGCACTCTTCGAGATTCAGCATGGAATCACTGAAA